AAATGATGATCTAAGGTTTCATTGGTTATTTAATATTGCGTATAAATGGAGAAGGCTTTTATTTTTTTTCTTTACTTTCAGAGTATCTTGTTTCTTGTTTTTTATAACTACTTTAATTTTATTTTAAAGGATTCCCACTATGCTTATGTAGGTATTTTGCCTAAATATGGTGGGAAATTATACTGAAAAGTTGCAGTAAGCGGAAAACATTTTGGGCCATAGATTGCTTACCCTACTAAATGCTAAATACTATTAGGACACATTTATAGTATTTTTGAGAGATGCACATAATAGATGTTTTCTACAGAAGCTCCCAGAATTCCAAGCAAGTATAATAAAATATTTTGTAATATTAGCATAATTGATGCAATAGGTTACAAATTGTAGTTTAATAGTCCCTAAACATAAAGATCCCTATCCTGCATGATTTCTTCATAGCATACATCTCACAGTAAAATGTGTATTTCCTAACCATTAAGAAGAATATAGCTTCTAAATACTATATACGGTACTTATGAGAAACCGTGACTTTTGATTTGTCACTCACTATCATACCTTTTTCTGAGCTATTTTTTTCTGATTTCTTAAAGTATCTGCATCTGAACCAAGCCTTCCGTATCTCTGTGTCAGGGCCTGATCCTTCTCTGCAATGTAAGAAAAAGAACACTCCTATTGAGCCCCTGAATAGAAGCTCACTTAATATACAAATGTAATTGGTATGTATCAGACAGAGAAATGTAGACTTGTTCCATGTCAATAGTTTTTGTTTTGTCATGCATTTAAAGCTAAAGGGAGCTTATTTATACACAAAATAACAGCTATTATAATTTGGTATTAGCCCTGATTCATAATCCTCTGACAAGACAAAATTAGGAACATTGCTATGTCCCCATCCCCAATCATACTCGTGCTCCAGGAGTGAACTTATGAAATTTTGAAGATGTATGTTGAACAAATAGAACAGGGTAAAAGTACACATCTAACAACAGCTTCCTCAAACATTCTAGATTCTTAACTATGGTTATTAGAAGAGCAGTTTAGTAAGACATCTGATTTAACTAACAATGACAAAAATGGATATGTTTAAATATGACGTAATGAAACCTTATGTTTGAAGCAATTAGACCACTGATTTAATATTATCATTATGCTTACCTTTTTGCTTGCTAATACGTCTTCCTCTTCTAGGACCCTTCAACCCTGCATATTTCCTCTGCATCATATCCTCAATCACCTTCAGTGATAACAATAAAGAAAAAGATAATCTGACACAATTTTCTTTAAATGTATCTTATTTGTGGAGAAACTGTAAAAGAAAATATTATCTATTCCATAATTCCCATTTATCTGAATAGTTAAAATATTGCATCTCCTCCATCAAAAGTAATGGGATTTTAAAGTGCTTGCCTTTCCTAGAATCATGTTCTTCATTTTCAGTTGCTCTATAAATTTTCATTTACTTAAAAGAAATCCAAATCTCTATATTGCTAACAATGTTCAACCTGATAAATAATTCATTCATGTGGAACAAGAATGATTTAACTATGGTGTGAAGAATAGCAATACATTATACAACTAATAATCACCAATACTCTTCCCCAAAACTGATAACTATTATTGTGTTTTTGTGCTATGTACATTTGTGCATAATTTCAAGCTGAAAAGCTTTCATTATTTAAACTGTTCATGCAGCTGCATCAGCTTGGTATGTGCTTTTTATTTTCTGCACCTATTCAGCTATATGTGTATTTATATTTAGAAAGAAGAAAACTCCATTGTTTTTCACCTTGTCATCAAAAAGGCTAAGCAAGGTATTTGACAATTCCTAAATCGCTTAAAATTAGATCAGAAAAACATTCTGGAATTCTACAGGTTAAAAATGCTGCAATGTATCTTTACTTACCACATCACTACTGTCATATCTTCTCAGTCCCAATTCTAACTGAGATATTTTTTTATTCACATTTTGTATATTGCCAATGACATACACTAACAATTTTGTTAAGGTTTTTTTTTTTCAAAAGTCTGTAAAGAGAGACAGTATATAAATGTTCCTGTTATTTCTGTCTCTTTTTCCTTTACTTTAATATTGCTTTTTAAATGTGATATGCATTGTTTTATTTGGGAAGCCAGGTTAGTGTAGTGGTTAAGGCACCAGGCTAGACATCAATATCTATCACAATTAAAACAGAATCTAGTTTGTTTGTTTGCAGTTATTTGCATTTTTCATAAGAAATACTTAATTTAGAGATCCAATTCAAATTTCTTCTAAAATAAATTGAGCGGGGACTTGGTCCAATAACAATTTGTATCACAAAAGCATCTTTCTGCTAAATGGAAATATACATGTGTATATAGAGAAATATTTTCATGCAAACTTCATGTTGTTTGTAATTAGTGAAAAAAAGGAAAAAGGATACAGCGTGGAAGGTCATCCAAATTGCAACTCAAGGTTTTGCTTCTCTCTTCTTGGGTTGAGGATGGCAAAATCAAGAACCCACTTAGGGGGCTTAAAAATGCTTTAGTATGTATTAAATCCATCCTGCAGAAAACAACATTAAAAAGGGGAAGGAAAGCATATTTTCACTTGAAACACACTTTTATTCAGTCACTTTATTCTCAATCATTCTTGAAGTTAACAAATTATCATCACCTTGTGTTGCAATGTAGAAACAAAAGGAGTCACTTACATAGGAAACTGTATTGAAAACATGTTGTTGAAAGTCCTTTTTACAATAGCTTGGGCCCTATTAAAGAATATGGGTTGCTGAGGTATATCAGCGAAGTATTTTGCAGATGGAATTATTATTTTTTATAGGAGTTAGAAGCTGGCTGGATAGAGTCCAAGAATAAGACCTTGGTGACACCTTGTGATATCACCTGGGAAGAATCTGCAGAAGTTGGGGAAGTGGCTAGAGTAGCAAGCAGTTGCATTAACAATCAGGGAGGGAAGCGAAGATTGAATTGGGACTATCATGAATGCAAAGGGGGAGGTAGGGCAAGGCGGACAAGAGATTGGGGACTTTGAAGTGGGCTCCAATATAATCCTCTTCCAAGAAAGTGAACTTGGATTTAGCTATATTGGTTTCAATTTCCAAGCTGAATTTATTAATTTAAAACATTTATATAGGAAAATAGGGCATTGTTGAGAAAATATATAAATTTACACGATGATATAAATATACATGATGATATAAATATATAAACAGCAGTAACTGTGAGAGGGATCTTGGAGTCTTAGTGGACAACCAGCTCAATATGAGCCAGCAGTGTGCAGCAGCCGCCAAAAAAGCTAATGCAATCCTAAATTGCATTAACAGAGGGAGACAATCAAGATCAAGGGAGGTGCTAATACCACTCTATAAAGCCTTAGTAAGACCACACCTAGAGTTCTGCATCCAGTTTTGTTCACATTATAAAAAAGATGTTGAGACTCTAGAAAAAGTACAGAGAAGAGAAACCAGGATGATGAGGGGACTGGAGACTAAAATATATGAAGAATGGTTACAGGAACTGGGCTTGGCTAGTCTAGTGAAGAGAAGGACCAGGGGAGACATGATAGCGGTCTTCCAATATTTGAGGGGCTGCCAGAGAGAGGAAGGGGTCAAGCTATTTTCTAAAGCACCTGTAGCCAGACAAGGAATAACGGATGGAAACTGAACAAGGAGAGATTCAACCTGGACATAAGGAGAAACTTTCTGACAGTGAGAACAATCAACCAATGGAACAGCTTGCCCTTGGAAGTTGTGGGAGCGCCATCACTTGAGGCTTTCAAGAAGAGATTGGACTGCCATTTGTCAGAAATGGTGTAGGTCTCCTGCTTGGGCAGGGGGTTGGACTAGATCAGGGGTCTCCAACGTTGGCAACTTTAAGCCTGGAGGACATCAACTCCCAGAATTCCCCAGCCAGCAAAGCCAGGATTAAAATTGCCAAGGTTGGAGACCCCAGGACTAGATGACCTACAAGGTCCCTTCCAACTCTGATTATCTCTTATCTGTTAAATCACAGTGGAAATGAAGTCCATTGCCTTACATCTGGGCATGCTAAATAAAAAGGTCACATTGGAAATAATGAAGGACTATTCTGTGCTGTTCCGAACTGTAGGATTCAAAATAATGGATGGATTTCCGTTACTGGAGCGTAGATTCCGACTGATTATTTAAAAAAAAAAACCCACTTCCTAACAATGGCAGGAATTCTACAGTGGAACGAAGTACCGCGCTCCTTTCCCTGCCTAGATCTGTCCAAGAGCAAACTGGACGGGCTGAGACTCTTAATTCGGTACATGGGAACTAGAACTTGTCGAGCATTGTCCGCTGAGGAACAGCACACCGCATCCAGACTCCCAGCCATTGTTCAGTTTGGGGACGGCTATAATGGGGATAAAAAAAAGCTCACTTTCCTGACACAGACCAAGGCTCGACTCAGGCCACGGACCGCCCTCCCCCGGAAGCTTGGCGTCCTTCTGTTACCACAACAACCAGCGGAAGAAACTATTCCCTTAGTCTACCTTTATACCAGACTAAAGGAGAGCCTAGCACTTTTTCGCTATTAATGGAAAATATAATAAACTGAGAGTAATTTACTTGAGAGCACATCTTCCGAACGACAGCATTAAAATATCTGTATCAAAATTATTATTTTTCTTTCTTCCTCCCCCGGATTACAACGGTGGTACGATCCTATCCCGGTTGCTGCTGTTCACTCCTCTTTTCACATCGCTTGGGTCGCTACCATCACACGAGGAGGGGGCTGTATCTTCTGATACGGGTTATAACTTCGCAAGCCTTCTACTCATACGTCCCTCTTACTCCTGTTAAGAGATTCAGTTACGCGCTCTTAGTTTATATATGTTCAGTTTGCGTGAATGTATATCAAAGCTGATTTTCGCAATTGTGCAATTAAAAATCTCCCCTCCTCTTGTGCTGCCCCAGCTATCCTGCGCGATCGTCCCTGGGCTACCGCGGGTTGCAAGGCTTCAAACATCGGTTAAGGCTACGCCTGCGCAGATTGGTTTCGAAGGTTGGGACTGTTGTATGTGAGGCGATCTTGACCATGGTGTGAAAGTTCCCTAAATTAGGTCTGAAGTGCTAGGTATGAGATGCGGGGCGGCTTCAAGAAAATACCGCTCCTTGTCATGGAGCTCTTTTAAAGGTGGGGTTAACTTGGATTCTGCATTTCTAAGCACAGGAGGTCCGGAATATCGGGTTCTCCAAAAATCCTCCAGTGGGGTATTGCTTGGAGCAGAGGTGGTAATAAGGCTGCTGGGTCGCTTGAGATGCATTCAAATTGCTACCCGCTACCTTGAGGAGACGGTCGGTACTCAGCGATACATCAGATGAAATTCAGCCGAGCTGCTCCTATTGTACATATATATACTCACATGTTGCATGTGGTTAAAAGCAGTGTTTATGGTTGCCTTTTGGCCGAACCTGGTACCTTCTGGCGATCATGTAGGCTACTATATAGGCAATGGTAGCAGGGAATTTATAGTCCAGTTGAGGTCAAAAGTTCTCTGCCTCGCAACTCTTGTGGGCAGTGATTGATCTATGCGTTTTTCAATGAAATGATAATCTTTGTGGGATATTTTTTTTCCCCCAAAGATAAGAGGAATTTAGAAAGATGCCACTTTTTGGAAACACATTCAGTCCAAAGAAAACTCCGCCCAGAAAATCAGCCTCACTTTCCAACCTCCATTCGGTAAGTTCTAGACGAAAGTGAAGATCCTTATGCTATCTTTTTCATCAGAACAGGAGACTCTTTAAGCCACATTGGCATATAAAATATTCACAGTTTGTTACTTGTTGAATTCTTCTTGTGATGTTATACCCCTTTACCCACTTTTATTTAAATGATAAAATATTCTTTTAACAATAAATAACCAACCGTAAGCTGAATATAAAAACTCAAAATTGTTGGCTACACCAGTAAACCACATAATATTTCTATTTTGAAAGTAAAATGTATTTGGTTGTCTATCTCCCTTTGAGGAAAGAACTGTATTAATAAAAATAATAAAAAGTTTTCTTGTGTTGTGTGCAAAAGAAGAGATTTAAAGCAGTTCTTGAGCTCTAATGAAATTTTTATTCTGTTTTGTAACATAGTAGAGAAGAAAGTGGGGTTTACATCTTAGCATCAGCTTAGTCCATCTCATTATTGTTTTTATTTTGAACTTTTTATGGTTTACATTTCTCAGGAGAGGAACTGGTTTCAGAAGAGGTTGAAAAAGAAATTTCATATTGGAGGTTTCCTAATCTTGATGGTGGGAATCCAACATATTTTGCAATGACTGGACACTAAAGCAATAGAATTGCATCCATATTTCCCTAAAATGATGCATCAGTGTGAGGATGCTAAACAACTTCCCATGCATATTTCAATAAAATATATACTTTTTATGCTGTAGAATAAATGGATTTGACATATTTTGTACAGGTTTGCCTTATGCTAAGAAAATAAATAGAAATTAAGTAAAATATTGGGAAAATACTGAAGTGATTTTTCTGTTTTACAGCTGGACAGATCTACCCGTGAAATTGAGCTGGGCTTAGAATATGGAACTCCTGTTATGACACTTACAGGACAGAGTCTGAGGTTTGAGAATGGCCAATGGATACCTGGTAAGAGAGAAAGAGCAATTATCTTAGCGACTGCAGAATTCTGCAGAGTATCAGAGATATAGCTCTAGAGATAGTCCTTGACTTACTACGGTTGCTTAGCAACCATTCAAAGTTATAACACATCCTGAAAAACTACTTTCAGCCCATTTTGATGAAACCGCAACATTCCCTGCCTCCCCGCTCTGATGGGTCGTGTAGATGTGACCGGCAAGAGGCGGTCCCTCAGATAACCTGGTCCCAAGCCATGAAGGACTTTAAAGGTGACAAGCAGCACCTTGAATTGCACCCGGAAGCAAATTGGCAACCGATGCAGTTCCCACAGGAGATGTGACACATGTGCATACCGGGGTCTGCACAAAACCATGCAAGCCGCTGCATTTTGCACAACTGGAGCTTTTAGATGCTCTTCAAGGGAAGTCCCATCTAGAGCGTGTTGATAGTTATGCTGGGGTGGTATTCATACTGTCATTTTATCTGGTTTGGTATTGCTAAATCATAGGTTCAGATAGATCTTTGTTCCTGCTAATCCTTTACATAACACCGATTCTCATTTTTTCTCGAAGACATAATATGTCTTGTTGTAATATGCACCAAAACATACCTACAGGCATATCTATTGGTGGATGTTCAATTTGATTTTAAGGTCTTAATTTACTGTGGAGTGATAAATTTTATATTTACTATGCAATTTTATGTTCTATTTTATTGCTTCAGTTTTTTTTAAAAAAATATCAGAAATACTTATTATTTCAAATAGTGTTGTAATGCCCAGAGAACTTCAGTTATTGAAATCTAAAATAATCATGAATTGCAAATGAGAAGAACAAGGCATACTGACTTCATTACACTGCCATAGGGATGGCCATACACAGATAGTCCTTGACTTATGACCATTCATTTAATGATCAAAGTTATAATGTTGCTGAAAAAAGTGATTTACAACTATCCTCACACCTATGGTCATCACATTGTCTCCTCAGTTATGTGATCAAAATTTGGGCACTTGACAACCAGCATCTATTTACAGTGGTTGTAGCATTTGTTTCACATGTTTTGTGACCTTCCCTGCCAGCTTCTCAAAAGCAAAGTCAGTGGAGGAAGCCAAATTTGTTTAATGACTGTGTGATTCACTTAACAACTATGGCAAAAAATATTGTAAAACTGGATGTCAGTCACTTAACAATCCCATTGCTTAGATAGCCAAAGTTTGGTTCCCAACTGTGGTCATAAGTTGAAGATTACCTGTATCCAAATAGCAGGAGTATTTGGAAACTTTCAGATACCTATTCTGAGTTCTGGGTTGCTGTAAACAAGGAGGAAACAACAGGCTTCAGGCGTGAATGAAACGTAGCCCTTACTGTGAGAACTAGGCTTCTATCTATCCAACTGGCAAATGAAAGGTAACACTATCTTGCAGACTGGAATGCAGAAAGGATTGAAACTCGAACTAACTAATAAAGACCTTTTTTTGACAACCATCATTAAAGTGTTTGGTTGTCATCACTGTCCTTGTAGTATTTTTAGATGCAAGTAAAATGTTATGATATTCAAAGATATCTCTTCTGGCCTGGGTTTATACTAGGCCAGACCTAAGTCATATGCTGTAATATATTGTTTGCAATATCTTTATTTACTACGCTTTAATGATTCTTTATAAAATGTTATTTTCTATCAGATTTTCATTGTTTTTCTGAGTTGTTATTTTGCCTATTTTAGTAAAGCTAATGTGACTGATTCTCGCTGGGGTTCTGGCTGTCATCTTCCATGAGATACCTAGAGCAAGACAAATTAGATAATCTTGGAATATGTAATTCCAGAATCATTTGGAAGCAATGGGGACCGCAGGGAGACACAGCGTCTTCGCAAACGGAATCAGCAACTGGAAGAAGAGAACAATCTTCTTCGATTGAAAGTGGATCTTTTGTTGGATATGGTGAGGTCGCTGTGTTGTCTCTCTTTTTAGCATATTTCAGTAGTTACTTAGTTTTTTTAAAGAATTACTTTTATCCCAAACACACGATTGAACCCAGACCATATAACTAAACCTTTGGAATAATTTTGCTTTGGAATAAAACCAAAAGAAAAATACTTCTGGATGTGTTGCAGCATTAGTATGTATATATTTTCATTCCCATTTATGCCTTACACTTTCAGCTCTCTGAGACAACTGCTGAATCCCACCTCATGGAGAAGGAATTAGAAGAACTGAAAAATTACAGCCGAAGGAGAAAGTGAATTATAAATTAGCAATCACTAGGAAATATGGGGAAGAAATAACAGGCAAATATGATTTAGGGCAATCAGATTCATCACTTGTGAAGTCACATCTGCCTTGGAAGACTTTGCTGTCTTTGACTCTTTGTAGCCAGGGCCCCAACTAAGAAATAGTAAGTTCCAGTGCTGTGAGGAAGCTAGTATCTTTTTTCTCTTTGTGAAACTTCTATCCAAGTGCTCTTAACACATATTCAGTATATAATTAGTAGATGATTAAGTATAGATAATATTTATGTCATCTTTCCAAGAAGATAGCAACCATTCTGAAAGATCAGATGAGAAGATATGAAGATTCCTTGCAATACATCTCAGGATACTTAATGAAATGTCAGTTTATTAAGTTAGAATATATACATTCAGCATGCACTCATTTTGTCATGTGAATTGCTAGAAAGCTGAATTTACTCATAATTCGTAAGACTGAAAACATGATAAATTGTGTCTAAACAAGGCAGACTGAAAGTCAGCTTTAGATTATAAATCCTGTCTTAATTGAAAGTTCACATTTAATGGGTTAAGTGTGAACTAGGAATGTAGCCTGTTTTTTGCTTTATACAGAAGAAATGGTTGCCTGCAAATAGAATGTATATATACATGAGTGCATGCTGCTTGTGCACATTTTGGTTTATCATGCCTCGACTCATGTTGTGTCTAAATTAAGCCATTATCTTTCTTTCATCTACTTTAGACTCACTATCCACGCATTCCTTGGTATCTGGGAGTCTAATGTGTGGAGTGCAAAATATTTCTGGATTGTAGTTTCTGACAGTGACTTGGTATATGGCAGACAAAATAGATAGCACACCATATCTTTTCATTAGTTTGTTTTATTATAGGAGGTATCACAAATGCCCCTGCACTTTCCCTGAAAGTATATAGAAAGCCACCAGTGAGGTCACATTTAAATCTATGACATCAGAAAAAGGACACATCTTGAGGAACCTTAAAAGCTAACAAAATTGTTGTGGCATCTGCTTTAATAGAGTAGTCACTTGCTCACAGATACTTAGATGATATAACATACTCATCTAAAAATGGCCTATTTATTCTACAATTCAAAAAAATAAGGTTGCCTTATAACTACAATAATTTACCTGTAAAGTGCAAGAACAACTTTTTTACATATCTTACCAAACCCCATTTCTTTGAACTTTACACTGAATAGCCAATTCTTATTATTTCTGCTCCTTAATTCATAATAAATCACCTCTTTTTAAAATTATTTTTCTTGTTTTTTAATTAATAAAAAGAACAAAAAACAAAAACAGTGATAGTGATATTCTTTTATTTCAAAAATGAAAAAAATCACAAAATGCTATAACAAATAAAAACAAATGTCATGTAATGATATACTTGTCTAATATAAATATTGTTTCAGACGTACATATTTCTGGTAACATGACTTTTTTAAGTAACTGTATGCTGTATAAATGAGTCACATATTATGTTTGTCCATGTATATAACAGTTATAGGCTACCTATAGGGAATCTGGTCATAGGTGGCCAATGCAATCAGTATTCAATCCATTGAGTGAAAGGGGCCATGAGTTAATCTTTCCAATGATGCAATATCAAGTCTTTTGGCCATAGTATGGGCATGGAGAATCCATTTACATTGTCCAGTTTTCAAATTCCATGTACTAAATATGTAAACCAATAGAATATTATTCTCTTCAGAATTTTAGCTTTTGTCGCACAATCCTATTTATGTAATCCACTACTTTCTGCCCAGATTTCCTAAGTATAGGACATTGTAAAAACATGTATTTTAAAGAAGCATTATTCTTAATACATCTCCAACAAAATGCTGTTTTAATAGTTATTTTCTATAGAGATTTCAGTGAATTTTAAATATTTTTGTTATAAAAGTCATAAATTGGGGTTAAACACACTCCCATTATACAGACAATTTAGGAACCTCGTATTTTTTATTCCATCCATTTCTTAATATCTGCAAAGAAGATTGATTTATTGATAACATCTAAAAAAATTAATAGGGTTTTTAATTTTAAAGGATTGAACAAGTTGTTCTATTATCTCAGGTATTTCAGAAGCTGAAAATGCTGCTGGTCCAAACGATGTCGTTCACTATAATTGTAAATATTTCCACTGGGTTATATCAGATAAATGATAAATTATCTTTTACTGAGAGTCCTTGATTTGTGACCATAATTGAGCCTAGAGTTATGGTTGTAAATCATTGTGATTGTAAGTTGAGGCACTCATGTAACCAGAAGTAATTTTTCCACTTTTTCTGTAGTACTTACTGCTGTCCTTAAGGGAGTATTACAGTCGTTAAGCAAATACCTCCATCATTTGGTGAACCCATTAATTTTGGCGTTTTTTTGCCAGAAACCAGCAAAAAATATCTTAAATCACGGTCATATAATGTTGAAAACCATGACCAATTTTAAAGCTGATCTGCCCAACATGACTACAGATTACCTCTAATACTTAGAATGCTAATAATTCATCATCATGTATCTGGTGGTCCAATGTCAGCATTTCCATTTCTATATCACCATCATTTCCCAATTTTCAAAGTTGGGATTCTCCATAAAGTCAACTCGGCATGGGAAAAAGCATCAAATCTTTTTTTATTAGATATTATATTCCATAATTTTCTAATTGACATAATTGTTTCCAGAGATATTAGAGTACTAGAATAGTTAAGATTAGATCCTAACACTGTCCATACAACCAATATATTCCAAAATGGTCCAAATTGGAAAATTAACACTTAATTGTTGACTTCCAGTATCTAATGGTTGACAGTAGGTAAACATGATGTAGCTCCAAATTTGGAAAATTTAATCCTTCCTCATTAATTGGTAATTGCATTTTTATAAAGATATTCTCAGAATTGAAGAACCCTATACAAATTTTCTAAACAAAGAATTTATTTTCTTACAGTATTTTCCAGATAAACTGGAATTCTCAATATTTTTATGGAATTATATGTATTGCCCTTTAGTTGCTGGGGGTAGGGGCAATGAGGCACATTTTTCCCTTTTAAGGTATTTTGGGCAATTTGCAGGTCTAATCAGATCATTTTAAAGAAAAACATTGTTCTTGAATTGCTCTTTAAATGTACTTTCATATTTTAAAATAAGCATTGTTTCCATTAATTTTATATATATTAAATATAATCCTTGGCACAGATAAAAGTACAGCAAAAGTTGCCATTTTCAAGTTAAATTCAATAGCAAATATCTACACAGGAATCTACATAGCTATTGCTACATTGCCTGGGAGGGAGGGATGGAACTAAGCTATGATTTAAATAACCATGATTTACTGATTAATTTATGATTAGCTGGCTTTCTACAACATGATCATAAATCATTTAAAAGGTGGATTTATACAATACAGTGACCCAAAACCACTCATTATGACTTACTATATATGAATTCAACCATTAACTTTTTTTTTCTTATTTTTAGAATATTTTATAAAGTTGCAGTATTTTAGGATTTGGTCTTTTTCATAATAAATCATAATTTTCGTAATAAATGCCTGCAACCCGTTGAATTTTCTGGTATGGTCACGGCTAAAGTCAGACTTTAGCCGGATAAGTAACTTTCTTCTGTCCCCATCTCCCAGGAAGAAAAAAATAAGTTGAATTTCAGTGCCAAATCGCAAAACTTGGATTAAAAAAACCAAACACCTATCATTGCCCTGGAAATAAAAATGCCTGCATCAAGTCCCACTGAGGAAAGGGAGAGACATTAATACTGCAGTTCCTGTTTATAAATCAATATATGCACTTCCTCATATCTTTCTTAGAATGCATCCATTTTTGCTGTAGGCCACTATTTTTTAACCTCTTTTAACTTTGAAGAGGAGTCCACGCCTCCTAAAATTACCCAGCTTGAGACACGCCTTCACTTGTTCTTCCCGTGCGCTGTGCGTCGCTGTGCAATTGCAGAAGGGCCGCCGGGATATCCAGACTTCCGGTAACGGTCTAGCCGCTGCGGGAGCGTCCTCGTTCGTCATTCAGTTGCAGTCATGGCCGCCTCTACGACGCCGCTGTCCCCCGAAGACCTGCTGCCATCCAAGGGAAGCGCCGGCAAAACGGATGAGCTGGAAGAGGATACAGAGGAGGAGGAAGATGAGGTAAGCGGGTCGTTGCCGCGGAGCTGCGTAAGGCGCCTTGGCATAAACCGTGCGAGGCTTAACCTCTCCTGGAGGCGGGGCAGAGCGTGCGGAGACCGCCGGGGCCCCACGAGGGTCAGTTGGAGGGTGCTTTGGAAGAGGGTCTCCTTGGAGTGGGGCATGAATAGGCGTTAATTGAGTCCATAGTTCTTCAACTCCAGGTGGGGGTGGAATGGGAGCAGGCTGGAGGGTTAGGCGGACTCCTACTTTCCGTGTTTTCTCGCCTTGTTGCAGCTGGATGAGACCCTGGCAGAGAGACTTTGGGGTCTCACAGAGATGTTTCCAGAGCGCCTTCGATCGGCAGCTGGAGCCACTTTCGACGTGTCCTTTTCTGTAGCTCAGAAAATGTACAGGTGAGATAAGGAAATGGAAAAATAGGGAACTTACTCAATTAATCCAGAGATGCTGAGATGATTTTCTAATGGTTTAATAACATACTACTATGTCACTGTTGTATGTCATTATTGCAAAAGGGGCACAGAACCTGTTTCATACACAGGAGGTACTCAACAAACAACACTTCACTTAATGATGGTTTGGAGTTAGAACGGTACTGAAAGAAATGACTTATGATCATTATTCACCCTTACTACCGTTGCAGCATCTTCATGGTCACATTGATTTAAACACTGCTCAAAAAAATAAAGGGAACACTTAAACACAATGTAACACCAAGTCAATCACACTTCTGTGAAATCAAACTGTCCACTTAGGTAGCAACACTGATTGACAATCAATTTCACATGCTGTTGTGCAAAGGGAATAGACAGCAGGTGGAAAGCAGAGGCAGTTAGCAAGACATCCCCAATAAAGGAGTGGTTCTGCAGGTGGTGACCACAGACCACTTCTCAGTTCCTATGCTTTCTGGCTGATGGTTTGGTCACTTTTGAATGCTGGCGGTGCTTTCACTCTAGTGGTAGCATGAGACGGAGTCTACAACCCACACAAGTGTTTCAGGTAGTGCAGCTCATCCAGGATGGCACATCAATGCGAGCTGTAGCAAGGAGGTTTGCTGTGTCTGTCAGCGTAGTGTCCAGAGCATGGAGGCGCAACCAGGAGACAGGCCAGTACATCAGGAGACGTGGAGGAGGCCGTAGGAGGGCAACAACCCAGCATCAGGACTGCTACCTCCGCCTTTGTGCAAGGAGGGACAGGAGGAGCACTGCCAGAGCCCTGCAAAATGACCTCCAGCGGGCCACAAATGTGCAAGTGGCTGCTCAAATGGTCAGAAACAGACTCTATGAGGGCCCGATGTCCACAGGTGGGGGATGTGCTTACAGCCCAACACCATGCAGGACATTTGGTATTTGCCAGAGAACACCAAGATTGGCAACTTCGCCACTGGCACCCTGTGCTCTTCACAGATGAAAGCAGGTTCACACTGAGCATGTGACAGATGTGACAGGGTCTGGAGACGCTGTGGACAACGTTCTGCCTGCCTGCAACATCCTCCAGCATGACCGGTTTGGCAGTGGGTCAGTAATGGTGTGAGGTGGCATTTCTTTAGGGGGTTGCACAGCCCTCCATGTGCTCGCCAGAGGTAGCCTGATTGCCATTAGGTACCGAGATGAGATCCTCAGACTCCTTGTGAGACCATACGCTGGTGCGGTTGACCCTGGGTTCCTCCTAATGCAAAACAATGCTAGACCTCATGTGGCTGGAGTGTATCAGCAGTTCCTGCAAGACGAAGGCATTGATGCTATGGACTGGCCTGCCCATTCCCCAGACCTGAATCCAATTGAGCACATCTGGGACATCATGTCTCGCTCCATCCACCAACGCCACATTGCACCAGACTGTCCAGGAGTTGGGGGATGCTTTAGTCCAGGTGTGGGTGGAGATCCCTCAGCAGACCATCTGCCACCTCATCAGGAGCATGCCCAGGCATTGTAG